TAATTATCTCTTTGTGGTAAAGAATTTTCACAAGTACTGCTCAAACTCTAGGTGTATTTCTTTGGATTTTTAAAAAGTATGTTTTACCTCTGAAGGCACACCTCTTGTCATTGGCCTAGTTTTTCTGTTCTAAAGCCCAGGAGGGCTGGGACACCTTTTGCTCTGGAGCAGGTTGTCAGCAGGGGCTTGGTTATTAGAGTGCTGCCCTGTCACTACTTTTATGTGCCACTGTGTTAATTTGGGACAGCTTTTTAATTCCTGAAGAGTAAGGAATAATTGTGTGTTTAATTTTCAAGGCACATTGTTCTCTTCTCTTCATGCATATACTGCTCTTTCTAAATTCAGACATACACATTCAACTCTTGCTATGTGTAGATAGTAGCAGTCCTACCTCTTAGGTATTGGATTTACATTTAACTTGCACAACAACTATTAATGTCCTTATTTGCCAGAAACTCTTCTAGATATTGACAATACAGAACTTTGCAGATGTTAACATGTAATAGACAAATCATTACTATAGTGTGTGTTAATTGCTGTTAGTAGCAACATGTAAATTGCTGTGGAACCATAGACTGTGAGAATACTAAATTGGGGAAATCAGAAAAGCCTAGGAATGTTGATGGTCAGTGCAGAGTTTAATGAAGGAAACAGCTTGTAGTATTGGTGACTTTTCTGAAGAGCTTAGCTATAACGAGTAGAGAGAAATAGGTTTTAGTAAGAGATTGGATCAGAAAGGTTTTTATTGTGTGGATGCTTACACCATGTATTTAGAAATGCATTTAGTGGAAAAAGATTGGAGGTGCAGGCAACATCCTTGTTTGTCCTTGACTGGTTCCTCTTGTGGTTGCAAAATGGCTGCCACAAATTCAAGTGTCACCAGAAAATATAACTAAATTTCTTGGAAGAAGAGTGACAGTTTTATTCTGAGGTATCTCCTTATCAAGTGAGAAAAGCTTTTCCCAAAAAGCTCATAGTAAAAGCTACTTTGTCCCTCTTTTCCCTCTTCATGGGTCAACATTGCACATAAGCCTGTTTCTAAATCAGTCATAGTCAAGGGAAATGGGACAGCTGTGATTGGTTTGGTGGATAATGATTCATTTTGGGCTGGGAGTGGCCATCTGCTTCCCCAGAAGATAAAGAGCAGATATTCAAGCATAATCAGACTTCACTTAGGAATTAAGGGTGGGTAGTGCTGGGTGGTCAGCAATGTCAGCCTTGTCCTCTACTCCTACCATCACTGTTCTGAGTAGAAAGAGAAAATATGGTTGTCTTTGGATTTGTAACTTGTGTTGTCTTTTTCCCTTTCATAAATCATCATACTTCCTTCTGTGACCAGGTAGTATTTTTACAATTCAATCAAGTAAATATTTTATTTAAAAATTGTTTATGGCTGGCCCAAGACAAAGTAGTTAAGGGAGATGGATCTCACATGGCTGACAGTGATTTGAATCCCAGTTCCAATAGCTTGAAAAATACACAGTATGCATGTGTGTCAGTGCCCCAAATCCCAAAAGTGCTAGAGAAATGAAGGAGAAGGGATTGAAGCATGACTGTGAACTCTCCCATTCCACAAGTGAACAAGTGAATGTGCTCTCTGGTAAATTAAATAAAAAAAAAGAAAATGTTTAAAAATTGAAAATGTTTATTGTGCCAAAACAAAAATATATGGAAGGAAAGGTTAAATCCAACTACTTAACATATCCATCACCTCACCTACTTTTCATTTTTTGTGGTAAGAAAATTTACAATCTATTGTTTTAGCAGTTTTGAGATAAACATTAATTTTAACTGGCCACTATGTATTTATTTATTATTTTATTCATGAGAGGG